GACCCTGCTTTCCCACCCCAGCTCCCCTAAGTGAAGGGGGGAGATAATCACCATCTTTAGGAAACTCCAGAAGTCTTTGAAGCTAAGCCCCTCCCTCACCCCTCTCTTGAGCCAGCAGGCAGCAATGAAGCTTACGGGGCCTTTGTCCCAGGCACGTGCTCAGGGCTTTGATGGCCTCTGTCCCTGAATCCTCCCCTCGAGTGTCCAAGGTCCACCCTACAGCTAGACTCGTGTATTGATGAGGAAACTGGGGCTCCAGGAGGTGTCTTAACTTGTCCACTCTCCTGCATCTAGTGAGGGACAGGATCTGAAGGTCCTAGTTCCAATCCCCACCTTCAGCCCTCAGCCGTGCCCCGTCCCAGAGTTCTGATAGGGCTGGGAGCAAAAAGGGAGGGAGGAAATGTGTCCCGTTCATCATCAATGTCATCAACACTAGGTGGGCTGGAGTCCCCCAGGAAAATTTTTTTTTTAAACAGGGAATTCATGGCTGGGTTTGGAGTCACTTCTTCCTCAGGTCCCTCAGCATTAGCACTGCCCGGAGATGCCACAGTTCACACAAGTTGGCAACAGAGTCAGGTGCACTGAGTGAGAACAAGATGAGCCACCAGCCCTCTGCCTTCCACAAGCCCGCTTGCCCAGTAAGTCCTGTATAAAAGCTGCCTCTTTGGTTGCTCCAGCAATTCCCCTCTCCTCTGCACTCTTGTCCTGAGTATGGCCTCAGCTGAGATCTGAGCCTTGCAAACTGCTGAGCTGCTAAGCATCCTCCCAGAGGCTCAGCCTCAATGGGGAGTCCACACAAGTCCGCCTCTCCCGGGTGCTCTGGCTTGACCACCCAGCATGGTAATCATAACAGCGAACACTCATGTGGCATTTACTATGTGCTGGCACAATCTCAATTCTTAACTTACAGACTCATTTAAGCCTCAAAACGGCCTATGGAAAAAAGTATCCCCATGATGCCCGTATGATGGTTCAGAAAACTAAAACAGAGCTTATAAGTAACTTGTTCAAGATAGTAAGATAGTCTATGCCCCTGCCCTGGACATCCCAGGCTTGATCTCTGTGCCTGGTAGCACCCCCGAGAAGGTTCCAGCTCTTTCTTGCTGCCGATCCGTGGTCTCCACAAGTCACTCACTTTCTAATCAGCAGAACTGACGGGATGCGAACAATTGGACTTTGGACAGAGAATTTACAAGGAAACTTAATTTTCTCGTCTACAAAACGAGGATGATAACATGAGCTCACAGTCACTAAAGAATGGTTGGAAAATGAGATAAGGAGCAGGAAAGATATCTGATGACATACGCAAGTATTAGCTACTTCTAACAACAGGGGAATGAGCACAGGGACCTGGAGTCTAGGAGTTACTGGCTGGGTGGCCTTGGGTGAGTCACATAATCGCCCCCAGTCTCACATGCCTTAACTGTAAGGTGAGAGAACCACCCCTACTCTACGCAGTCATTGCCAAGGTCAGGGCCAAAGCACCCAGGGCAGTGCGTGACACAGGTAGCTCCCAATGAAGGCAGCCAGTATGACTACAGCTACCCGCATCCAAGCAGGAGAAGACGCCTGCACCTGGTCTCCTCTTGGCCGTATTGAGGTCAGTGACAGCCAGAGGATTTCCAGGAGTGAGTGGAAGAAAGGGGCTGGATGAGAGGGACAAAGAGAGAAGCAGAAGCTTCCATTTCTGGCTCATCTAAGTTCCAGAGAAGGGCAAGGCCTCACCCCCATCACCTTGATCCTTTCCAGTCCCCCCACACCATATCCACCACCCGGGTCCCACCCACAATGCCAGGTGAACACCTGACCTCCAGCCTGAACCTCAGCGAGGACAGGGACCTGCTGACAGGTGCCCTCCTCTGTGGGATCAGGGCCAGTGCTAGCCCAGATGCTAACCCTTTTAGCGTCCTGGCTGAGCCTGGCAGACCTAAGAGAACTGGGGGTTAGTCTTCTTGACCCTCCTCCTACTCCCCGCTTTAGTGCCCTTTTGTGAGGTATGGCCTGTCCGTGTCTGGGTGGGAGTGGGGGCAATGTTCCCGTCTTCTTCACTCTGCAAAAGCCAGGCACCTGTTGGAGGGGAGAGTGGGGTTGTAGCAATGAACGACCCCTCGGACTGCAGCACCTCCAGGCCAGCCCTGTGAGTCACCCCAAAGTTCCAGTCGGTGGGTCTAAAAGGGTGAGTGCCTCCTAGCTGCACACACTCATCAGCCCAGATCTTCTCTGGGTCTCTCAGCTCCCCCAGTCTTTCCCGAAATAGATTGCCCTGCATTTTTTCAGCTTCTTCCTCCTTTCAAAGCCTGAGGTGAGTCCTCCACAGAGTCTCGGAGGGGCTTGCCCACCCTCTCTCCGCGCCTCTCCCCACCCTCCTTCCAGGAGGGGCCTGGGCCTTGCAAGCCCCACGGGATGACGCGGGCCTGGTGCGCTGCCTGGGTCCTGCAGGGAAACCTGTGAGCCAGGTGAGCGGCCCCAGCGCGAGGCGCGAGTGAGGCTGGGAGCAGGAGGGGAGGCGAACCCCGACTTCCACTGGGAGCCTCAGCCTCCAACGCAGTGAAGCAGAGTGTGCAGGGATATGCAGGCCCGCCCAGCAGGAGTCCACATGCACTGCAGGCGGCTTCTTTCGCCTCTAGAAGGACACGGATTCATTGATAAAGCGGTGTCCATGCACTGGGTGCAAACCTTCGTGGCCGCGCGCTCTGAGAGG